ATGAAATGAATTCATGTTTTTGCTTCTAATTATTATAAACATCGTCTCTATGTACACTTTATTATTGTATTTTTGCATATTGACTAGACCGCGAATCTTTCGAATTTATAACACTCGCGTGTGTACAAAACTCAGCGAAATAAAAGGTTCCATTGAATATTTAAATGATCGTGTATTGTTCCCGATATAATGAAATATATAATAAAAGAAATAAATTTCTATTCAGCTACAGCTTTTATTAATCAGTTTATAAAGGTATGGTTGTCTATAAAGATTTATGCTTTAATAACAATGGAGTTCGGAAATAAAAATATTTCAATGCATTCGTTTGCTAGTTGTTTCAACCAACTGATGATATCGTTCAAATTCCAAATATCGTTTACCCTCTTTTATTAACTTTCATATTTTATATTCGTAGCACTTATCGACACTTTATTTCGATTAAAAATAATTCAAAGTAACCAAACGTGTTAATTCGTGATTAAATTAAAACACATAAAAATTACACGAAAGTTATCGAAAAATTTCTACGAGGCAAACAGAAAAATCAATTTAAGTACCTGTTTGGTAACATGCAAATTCATTATAGTATCAAACGCAACTATTTCTTCTCAAAGATGTTTCAGACATCTGTCACTTTCAAAACGTCGGTAGTCTCAAAATAAGGAAACCAATATCCGTTATATCGACGGGTACGGTAATTCCGGCGTTAAAAAGAATAGAACGCTCGCGCAATCCTTCTTCTCCTCCCGGACAGTTATTGAACATAATTCTCTGAGCATACTGACCATGATTTTAATTTGGAATCAGATACGGTCCGCTGGCCGGTATCTTGATGCCGAAAACAATCATCGTTTAATTTCTCTGGGAATATCCGCTGACCGGCGGCGACTGCGGCCGCGGCGGCGCTGAGAGGGAGCGTATTACTAATAGCAATAAATCGTCGCGGTGATTGGATTCGCCGATTTATCGCGGGAAAATTAAAACTGCCGAATGCGGCCCGCTTGATTTCAAAGTTAATCGGTTTTCCGGCCATTCTCGCGGCCGGCTAATGCATTCAGAATTTGACAACCATCATGGGACACCCCGCCGGTCCGCGAGCAAACAATGGAATTATGTTTTCCATGCTATGCTGGACACGTCCCTCCTGTTCCCTGCTGAATAACCAGCAATTATATAACAGGTTGCACGGACACGCGCGCCGCAGGAATAAAAACCGCGGGGATTTTTCGCGGCGGATCGTGTGTAGGCATTAAGCCGTTACCCTGAAAAAAGTATCGGCTCGGAAGGAGCGTTTAATCGCCTTCGGGGAACGTTTAAGCGTTCCGATTCTGACTTCTCGTTATTTATTCCTCGGCTCCGCTTTCTCCGCGTCGGATTACGCGAGAGATTATGATATAGGTAATGAGCAGACTTTATGCAAATTCAATTGTTCGAGGATGTAACGGAGAAAATAGAATCACGATGGAGGGTAGTTTTTCCCGGTAAATACTATGAACAGTATTCTACGCATATTTTACGGGATTGAAAAGCTTTCGGGAACAACTGTTTGAAACTGTTGTAAAGGGTGTCGTGTAACCGATGGTGCAGCATAGGGGTTGATTCCATGACAGAAACAAGTCGAAAGAATAAAATTTGTTCATATGCGAGGATTTGTTTCCAAGAAAATCGATTTTGAATGTTTGCGAGGTACGCGTGCAATTGATCGTGTTTCGTTATTTTTGAATTAATTTGTAAGTAAATAAATTATTTAAAATAATTTGTAGTTAATAATATTACTTCCTAATGCTGCAAGGTATGAATAATAATTTAAAAAGAAAATATATTTAGGTACAAGTGTAAACGATAATTGCGCATCTGATTCATTGCGTCGCTTTAAACAAGAACGGTGCACCAGTGACTTCAAAATGTTAAAATTTCACGCCTCGAAACGGCAACATCGCGAGGCTACTTGAATTCTTAATACTAATCTCTTACGAAGTTCGCAAAATTTGAAGCAAATTTTCATTCAAAATTTCAGCCGTAACGCGCAAACATTTCGCCGGGTAGGAAATTGTAGCTCGAAATTTTGCCTGTTTCAATAATGAACGCGCTCGTGATGACGTGTATAATATTTTATACGATTAATATTTTAAATACTTCCACAGAGGCGCGAAACACACTCGCCAAAATGGTGTGGACCAAATTGAGGGTGTGTTATGTCGGTCGCTGTCATCATCGTGTAAAATATTGTATACCTATATTAGCGCTAAAACCTAATAACACTTTGCGCAGAATAGCATTAACACTCCATTTGCTCACTGAAAAGGGTTTCAATTAGTAGTCGCAGAGTGAAAATTAATGAGTTGACTTAGTGAACCAAGGTAGCTTCCAATCTGCCTTGTAATTTTGTGTGTTCATGCTAATTGATTTTGGTGAGAATCTACTGTGTTATTAAATACTAGTGAGAGTATGCTGTGTTCAACGTTTCAAACAAACCTCCGAAGTGTGTGCCGTCCGAAAAGCTGAAAAGTCGGGGAAACTTCTTTTCTTGTTAACTGTTAAAACAAGCGCGAGCAATTTAAGCGGTTTCAATTCTTCTAAAAAATAATATATTACAATGATACGCAATGATATATTATATCCAACATTAAACAATACTTATAATGTATGCAGGATGTTCATGGAACCAATTAATTCTTCATTAAATGTAACAATGATTAATTCCGTAAATTATATATTACATGTACATACCATATAGAATAATAATTATTCGATTAAAGTATTTTTTTCAACTTGATTACAGTTCTTACAGAATTTTTAAGTACTTCGTACAAATTAGAAATTTAATACAGTATTCTGATATGTATTTGTAGATGATTTTACTAAAGTCTACATTCTACATAGGATCACTGATAGATTAAGTAAAATATAATTATTAGAATTTCTTAAATATTTGTTGAAATATCCACGATTCACCACTCAATGATCCCAATAAAATATAAGCTTCTCCTTGTGGTACTTCGGAACCTATAAAGGCGCTTCATTTTCAGAAAATATTCCCCCGACCTTACAATATTCGGCCTGGGGTGGATACAATATTGCGCCTTTACGGCGAAGATTGATTTTACATAAGTACAAGCATGTGGAAGCTCGTGTAAGTGATGAATAAATGGAAGTGTATAAACAAGGCTAAAAAATAAAGTATACGTGAGCATAATAAAATATAAAATGGCCAGCAAAATAAAGATAAGAAATAACAGTAAAATAATCGCAGTACAATGAAATAAATGAAACAAAATAAAACAAAATATAACAATGGGTAAAAATTAGGGGTCAGACGTAAAACGTATTTCAAACCCTATATCACTCTCATCAGTTCAACAAGTTGATTCATTGAGGAAGTTCCCATGAAAACGTACCCGCAAAATGATCCCCTTGCCAAATAATTTCCTTGTGAAAACTGAAATGACACGACGTATTTACGTATTACGGATCGCCTTTGCTTTTAACATATATAATGTTAATAATAGTAGTATTAGTATTTTGTACAAGGAATGCGCGTAAGAAAACGAAGTTTGTGTTGACAACGGAAAAATATATAGAAATTGACATCGTTTTAAATAAACGTCTATAAAATATATTATAATTGTAGATAAATACTAACCTAAATAACTGACCAGCGCGACTTTCAATTAAGAGATAACGGTGTAAGTACCGAAAGCGGTCCCATTAAAATGATCAGCAGGTGTAATTTTGTTTACATCTCCAGAACGTACAATAGATTACCCAACGATCGCTGTTGCACATTTTTTCCGTAGCCGTTTGTACGGTTGCGCCAGAAACCTAATGTCCCACATATCAGCAGTGTCGCCTATACCGTCCCATGAATTTTTGGTCGTATCGAAAACAGAGCTCAGTCCTTAACTCACCGGGGAATCCGATTTCGAATGTTACGAAGTCATTCGCAATAAATTCAACCAACCCCCGAGAAGCCTGACTCCCACGAAATCCTAGGTCGTCGGCGTGCAGGTGTGCGTGGCTGAACACAGGACATCCGCCGCTTACAATAGTCACGTGGTCGAGTACCGAAGAACAAAGAAAAAGAAGAAATATAGACAGAAGGAGAACGGATAGACGTCTTTATTTATTTGTGGATAGAATTGGTACACTAGGGCGCGAGGCAACGCTCGGAGAATCTAAAATAAGATGGAGCTACCGAGCAAACCTACCGAACACAGAAATCCTAGCTAGGTAAACAAATACAGTGGCGGTGTTCTTTGGGCTTCCTAGTCAACGATAACTTTGTAGACATTACGGAAATAAATGTTTCGAAATCGTAATAATTACTAATTTTATTTTCTGTTAACGTTTATGATTTGAAAGCACTGTAATGGTCAGTTGTATGTCGTATGTCGCCGGATATACTACAGACCAGAGGTACAATCCCAGGTTTTGCAGCTACGTTGGAAAATATGATTCTAAAAAAAACAATTAAATTACATTCAAATAAAACTACTATACTCAGAACAAAAATGGACATTTTAAAAAACTCTTACACTCTTCTTACAAATTCCTTGAAATTATTCTAAATAATAAATTATATTTACAGGCTTATTATTTATAAAATTCAAACTCACCAATCTATTAAAGAAAATCAACTGATTATCTTAATTAAACGATTCAATTTATTCATGATTATATTATTTTATCATTGTAACTAAAATATTATTTCATGCATAAATATCATATATCTCGTATAATAATTTTAACCACAGTAATAATAAAATAACACGTGTAATTTTAAATATCTGAAATTTTATTCATTTTCCTACATTCAGCATATTGAGAAAAATATTTTCCGCGTTCGAAGAAATGATTTGGTATTCCCAAACAGTGTGGCATGAGCCATGCATAGAATTTTCAATTATAGAATATGCAGATCAGTTACAAATTACTCAGTCACGTCCTAGCATTTTAGATACCTCTGATGTGGTGGAGTGACATAACCGCGTGTGATCCTTTGACGTCTGTTTAAGGACTACGTGCTCCATTTCGTATCGGGATAGAGAATATACGTCGGATCAAAGGGTTTCCACGACTTCCTAGTTCGTCTTTCCTCGCATTTTATTGCGTTCGCCGAGGAGCTCCGAGTATCCTTTCAAAAGTCTCCTCCTCGCCGTGCCTCGCGTGCCTTCGATCCGCGCAAGCTTCTGATACATTACTGGTCCAATAAGTCGAAACGCCCTAGGAAATATTATTTCATGATATGATTATTTGACGGGACGCGGAACGCCTGCTGATTCACTCAGATCATTCGACTGATTTGCTTCCTATCGATTTATCAAGGGAATATTATTACAATCACCGTTTTTACAGTTTATGCACTATTCTTCGACTTTTTACATTTTATGTGTAAACATATTTTTTAACCTTAGTTTTCAATTACTATACATATACACAGATAAGAAGAATGTTAATCACTGTTTGAAACTTTAAGGAATGTTACTGTTTTTATTATTTAATAGCAATTATTTAACTAATTAACTATTTTTGTTATGAGAGCTGAGCTTTTGTTATAATTACAATATTTTATGAAAAAGGAATAGTTATTCTTCATTTACACCTAACCAATAGGGTAAGTTTTATCAGAAAGAATTTGGTACGTTCTGAATAATTTGTAAGAAATTTTCACGTAATATGAATGTAGGAGTGTTTCAATTATAAGTACTTACTGTTAGTAAGCAGTTTTGTAGAGGAAGAATGTTACTGTACGTACAAGTACCGCGAGTATTGGGTAAAATTTAATTTTTCAGCTTCGTGGCTGCTTTTTCATTTCACAAAAGAACCACCAGAAACTCCCCTAGGAGGACAACCACGCCGCAAAGAATACGAGAAACTTACTAGAAACTTATCTCCCATCTGCAGATGTTCGTAACTTCTCTTTTTCTCCTTCTTCTGTGTGTACTGCCGAGTTCCTGTGCAAAATAAAATACGTTAATCAAAACACGAAAAAATTATTGACAATTATGCTTCAACGGAACGATACGAATTTAATGCAAACGTCTTACACTGATGATTTCCAGATGTTTAAAATTAAATGAGAAAGGATTATTAATGTGTATAACGTGAGACTATTCTTATATATGTATCGAATTAAAAATCTTTTTTACAGTTTTTATATTATAATAATATATTATAAATATACAGAATCCTTTAAAACACGCCTTCCGCTAATTACATAAATGCTGATCCTCTATGGAGCAATATTTTGATGATTTATTGTAAACCCGCTGGTAAGCATAAACTACAAGAACATTGATTTTTAAAATTATTTAAATATTTCATGAACTTTGCATAAAGTCCATGGAATTTATGAGTGTAATAAAATTTAGTTGAATAATATGTATGAGCATGTTCGCTTTAGGAAGCTTAATAACAGAGTGATGCTTAAATCTTCCGTGATAAAGAGTGTCATAAAGGATAAAATTCTTGAAGTTTCAGCGATCCTGTCGATGAGAAGTGAGAATAATCGTTGGCACAGGCAAATAAACAATATTCGGAACGTCTGTTGAATTTACAAGTCAGCTGAAAAAATTTCAATTATTCATAGCCTTTTTAAAGTAGATGATTCTTATAAATACGTTTTCTCTCTGTCCCCTTTAATATAAGTAATTAATCTGCGTGAACAATTTGTCATGTGTAAAATAATAACAGACCGTTGACATTTGAAAAAAGAAATTTTCTTCTAATAGATTTGAAAGGAATAGTTTTCGTTTTAATAGACTTATAAGAGATTAAATGAAAAATTAATGAACCGCTCGAAACATGATTCGTAGCTCTGCATATCTCGTTAACAATATGTTGAAGGTAAAGTAAATGAAGTAGTGATAATTGAAGTCGTTGAACGCTTCTCTTGGCGGAGCGCCGTCACTATAGTATTTCACGATTTTCCGTTTACGATGTTATAATTGAAAAGAACTTTTAATCCTCGGAAACTTAATTAGCGGCATATCGATCAATTGATTACGTAGAATTTTAATCAAAGGTTACATTAATTAACCGGTTCGAGGTGTATCCGTTGAAATGCAGAAAGCCGGTTTAAGCATAGAATATTGAATCTTTGATCATAATACCTTCGTTAAATAAATATAGTCCTATCGCGATTGCAATTAAATTTGTTTGAAATAGAATTAAAATAAAATTCAACAATTCTAATAGTTACAAGGAAGAGTTAAAAGTAGTTACAATATAAAACCAGTTGCACATATGAAATTGACTTTAATTATAAGTTAAAGTTCGAAGCAAAAGTGTTTAGTACATTTAAGCTGGGAATTTAAAACGAAATTAAGCAGCAGAAAGCCTTAACAACAAACTTTCGTGGTTCTATAAACCACAACCTTGTCTCAATTTACAATTTTATTTAAACACCCACGTATTCAACCAACATTTATTATAATTATTCATAATACCATAACCATAACCTATACAAACACTCGTAATATTTCTCTAAACTTCTCAAACAAACGACTAAAATCACCTATAAAACAACACCGATAAACTAACATCGAGTTCTAAACGAAAGTCCCAAGAACGTTCCCAAAAGCTCTCGGCCAGAAACTAAAACCATAACTCACTGGGGCAAGAGTAAATCTCCTGGTCGATATCGACCACAAAACTTCCCCAAAACACACAGCAGCTCATCGCTCCTAATAAAAAACAGACAGCGCATTCCCACAAAGCTGAAAATTCCGAGCACCAATCAGACCTACTACTTCATTCTCAGCATTAACGTTCAGCCAGCGTATCTTCGTTATTCACCCATTCTCCTGACGTACGTTACTTCGAAATTCGGAGCGTCAGTCCAAAAGCGAGCACCGGTCCGATCGAATAATTATAAGTTCCCTAATTTTCCAGAGCGATGGGTGGAGTATCGCTAAATATATTCAGTCGGCGGAAAGACAGACGTTAGAGACGGGATGGGGACGACTATGGTAGTGGACGCGGTACAGGAATTCGCATAGAGCATTACCAGGAAAAGATGTTCACAGATTGTGCCCCGGAGCGAGACGTATTCGGGTCACTAGTACGTTCTCCTCGCTCCCTCGGGCTTCTCTTTCCACACCTCTTACCCTCTAGCCGGTTCCTGCAGACGCGTAGGAGGATAAATCAGT